CGGAATAATGTGCTGTGGTTTTCTGAAAACGGGTCGCGTGCGGTCCGTATACGGTTCCTATTTCAACCGCGCGCGAACGCTGAGCGTCCGTAATGGATTGTTCGCGAACCACCTGTGCTCTCAGAAACCTATCGTTTTTGAGCAAAAAAAAACGGGGGTTCCAACTAATGGGGTTTTGTAAATGTTCGATTTTGAAAGTTCAAGAATGAAGGACATCATCTTTAGGGTTCTCTATTATTGAAGAGACGCACAGAAGCGAGACTGCTATCGTCGTCTGTATGTCTATCACCCTTCAAAGTTAAAAAAGCGCACAACTTTGCTGGATATTGGCCGATACCTTGTTTAACTAGATTTGTAGTTAATTTTAAGGGCTTCCATATGAAATACCGTAAGACCAATATCGGAATTTTTGTTGTTCCAAGGTATCCTCGCGTTCCAACCAATCAATCGAGCCTCATCGTGCTCCGGGGAAACTCCGCCCGGCCACCGGAGAGGGGTACAGGTGTGCGGACAGGCTCCACCCACCCACCGGGGGTGTCCCATATAAGGGAAGAGATTTGGCAGGGAAGACCATATCCTTCTTTGGTTTCCCTTATTGATTTTTCAATCTTGGACTTTCTGAGAATGTTTCTAGCTGTCTGGGACGCTTGGAGGCTGTCTAGAGCTGTCTAGAGCTGTCTAGAGCTGTCTAGAGCTGTCTAGAGCTATCTTGAATTGCTTTCAATCCGCTCCTAACCCTTTCTCCCTCGCTCTCTCTCTCCAGATCTATTGATTTTTCATCTATTGATTTTCAGAACACTTCGAATTCTCTGCATTCATCATGGCCGATCAAGCTGCCCCAGCCGCCCAACCCGCCCCAGCCGCCGCACCAAAACCCGAGCCATCGTTCTACTTCAGCCTCGAAAGCTGCGACAAGGAAATCGTCAAGATCAGTGACTTGGCTGTCCCACAAATGGTCACCATCAACAACCTGGTCTCCGGTCTTGGCTACGACGCAGAGAAAGCCGCTAAGAACGTGATGCCGATCGATAATATCACTGGTGTCACCTTGAAGCGTGCCGTCGCCTGGTGTGAGCATCATCGTGGCGTGGAGTTCCCGGAGGAGAAGAACGAAAGCTTTCCACGTCAGACAAACATTCCAGAGTGGGACATGAACTTTTTGAAGGAGCTGGAGGACAAGGAGCTCGAAGAGCTGACTATTGCTGTCAACTACTTGGAGATCAAGCAGCTGCTCCGTTATTGCTGCAAGAAGATTGCCATGATGGCTCAGGGAAAGACTCCAGAGGAGTTGAGAGTGATTTTCGAGATTCCGACTGATGAGGAGGATGCGATTGCCGAGCAAGAGTTGAAGGAGAGGCTGGAGAGAGAGGCGAAGGAGGAGGTCGAGAGAGGGATCGTTGAGGGACCATCCACATCCACTGGAAAGCGTTAGAGAGCGAATTTTGGAGCTCCTGGAGCCCTTTCACTGTTAATTTCCCCCTTTTCTTGTTCCTCTCATTTTTTACTCTTTTATCTAGCTATCGTTTTGAATATAATAAATTTGATGAACTTGAAAAACTGGTTTTTTCTTTTTTTTTTCAATTTTCAGATTCTTTTTTTTGGAGCTGAAAAATTGCTCATTTTCAGTTCTATGTTACGGTGAACATCTGATGGCTTTTCTGCTAGGAATGAATATTTTCAACCCTAATGAAGCCTATTTCTAGGACCTACTTTGAGGCCTATTTTTTAGCTTATTTGAGCTCATTTTTGAGCCTAATCATAAGCTTATCCGAAGCCTATTTGTAGTCATCTTTAAACCTTTAAAAATTTCACTTACCGTAAAACCTCTAATAGAACGACACCCGGATTGTCCACTTTGAGCCTATATATCTCACTTCTTTTGAAAGGTATC